GTAAAATATTCCTTTAAATAAAATAAAACATCTCTTTTTAGTAAAAAGTATTCAAAATAAAATTAAATAACGTGTATTTAATTATCACATAATAAAACAGTCAAATATTCCTTAAAATAAAATAAAACAACTTTTTTAAAAACAAATCGATATAATTATAATAGTAACCAACTAATTTATAATACTTAATAATAAAATGAGTAAAAAAAATTTGATAATTTATCAGTCTTATTTTAAACTGACAGTTTCATCTTCCTCGTCAGTTTCTTGTAAATAGTCTTGGATTTTTGTACTATTTCTCATTTGCAGATACTCCTCGTGAAACTCGTTTGGAATAATTCCAGATGTACACAATTTAATAAGGTCATTATATTTTTCTTTCGAGATTGCAATGGTTTCTTTATACAACTTTTTTGCAATGACTTCTGTAGTGGACCGAGATACTTTCTTGTTCCGACCATCCTTAAGTTTTAAGGTTTTTGGTTCACAATCAGGATTATATGAAAAATAAGCATGGATATTTATGGAATGCAAATTATAATCTTCACTATCCAAATTCAAACGTGAAAAAACAAAGTAACGAACTTTTGAAATTTGAATGATATTACCATCGATGTCTTTTAAAACTTTAGGGAGTATATAACTATTATCAGCTTCATATTTCCAATTATAAAAATCTGAGTAAGCAAGTTGTTTTACCTCTATAGGCTTAGGATTAATACGTGCGTTTCTAATAAGTGTAGCCCATTCACTTGACGCCCAAACAGTTTTGTCCTTAACAAAACGTTCGATTGATGCATGTACTGAATCTACCGGCATGTAGGTATGGCCCGGCAAAAGAAAAACGATTTTTATCTCTTTAATGTACGTGAATTGACTTTTGAGTGATTTTGAAATCATAGCTAACATAGCACGGTTTTTATTTTGGCCGGTGCACGAGTCACAATATAAAGCTACGTATTCATATATTTTTTTGGTATCTATATCAGTTAAATAGTTGTATATACATGTCACAATTTCATTACATCCTCTTTTTCCATTTATTTCTCCCCATAAATAAGCATAAGCGTTTTGCGTTCCCGACTCGTAAATGGTGCAGTTATAAGAACTAAACTTCCTACTATAGTACAAATTCATATTTTGATCTAATGGGCTACTTAATACTTTTTGTAAATCAAAACTCGAGCATAAAAAATTCCCTTTACACTTTGAAATCTGTTGATCAAACAAAAACATAGATTTACATTCTTCTTTTTCATACAAATGAAGTTGATTTTTTGTATCTTCGGATTCATTCAGTTTTCTGCTCATAATAATATTTTCAATTTTACAACACCAAGTACATTTATCCTTTTTAGGGACATGAAAACCGATATTATATTTTTCTTTAAACAGCTGATTGAAAAGTGTTTTTTTTATGATGGTACCGTTACTTTGTTTACAAAAATCAATGTAAAGTTGATATAATCTAGAGCAATTGCCTAACTCTGACGGTAAATATTTCTTAGTCGTTGAGGCTCGGCAATAGTGTGATGGTACCGCTGGGAGCTGTTGTATAAATTTATCAAAATTTGCCATAACATCATCAGACGTTTTATTTTTTGGACGTCCTGAACCACGTCCATCTTTTTTCGAAGTTCCTGAAGGGGATCTTTTTGAAAGTGTATAAGTTAAACATTTTTGTGTCATATCCAAAGTTTTTAACAAAAACTGTTGACATACCCGCTTTGGTTCACTATATTTACACGATAAATAGTATTCTCTGGTTACATTACGGCGACTAGTACCTTTAACTCTTTTCCTTTTAATATCAATTTCTTTGGTAGATGATAATAAATAATCACGTTGTCTTTCATAACTTCCTAATCCCCAAAAATTAGAAAAAATAATTTGTCTCTCTTCTTCGGTGATTTTATTCGTACACTTGTTAGGACACTTTGAATTAGCACAAGGGTTATTTTGAACCTTCTTACCGTTACCATGGACACGGTTATGTTTTTCCTTAATTTTTTTATTAATAATTTTTGGCTTTTTCAAACCACTTTTTCCTATCTGTAATAGTTCATCAACAATAACAACATCATCGCATTCATCTAAATCACTACTTGAAGTTTTTTTTATCGGATTCTATAGATGGAATTTTGAAAAGTTCTCGTGAACAACTAGGTTTTTGATAAGTCTTAACAATATCACTAATATCAGAAACAGTAAATGAAGTATTTTTATTCAACACCATACCTGGTGGTAACCAATCTGTTGTATCTCTAGTGCAATCTGACAGACATAATGTCGATGATTTATCAGATAATAATGTATTTATAGCAATATTATTTTTGGTAACAGGAACTTCAGATTCTTTAAAAACGTTTAATTCTTTATTTTCAACTGCCATAATATCTTTATAAACTAAACCATTAAAAAAATTAGCACGATCAAAGTTGTCGTTTTGTTTTGATGGAATTTTATTTTCAATAGTACTAGACGAATTATTTATAGCAATCATAATTTTTTTTATTCTTGAAGCCATTTTTAAGCTAAATAAACATAATAAAAGGTACAAACAGTTAATTAAACTATAAATTATAATCAATTACTGCTACAATATTTTTACTATTGTTTAACTACTATGGTGAAATTTGGACACAGTCATGGACTGCACAACAAAACGTATCATATAAGGCATTACTACCTACTAAAAATAATATTGACAAGTATTTTATACTAAAAAGAAAATAATAATATTATAAAAATGGGAAACGTAATTTTAAAATATTAAACTTAGACGTAAGACATAATGCACCATAAAGACTGATAGTAAATTTAAAGACGATCATTATAATATTAAAATGATACTTGCATTTATGTAATAAATAGGTAAAACTTACTTGAAATCAAGAATCTTGAATGAGTGAACGTGTAGCCACTGTAGCCAGCTCGCAAATGCGAAATGCCGTAATGCCTATCATTATTCGTTATCATAAATTAGCAATAATATAATATCATTATTCTGATGTTAGCAACAAAATGTCGTTTACAACATCATATTATATTATTTAATAGTCGTTTACGCCTAATAAAAGTCGTTTACGCCCAATAAAAACTACGCACCTGATAACGAATGGCGGTTACGCTAAATATTTAAACATCGATAGTTATTCGTAAAAAAATCGTATCGATACAATCATTGGCTCTATCGATAAAGAATCGTGGCGTTTACGCCAAAATTCTATTAACTCATTTTCGTTCAAAATGTCGTTTACGCCCTTTTTCCCTGTAACCGTCGATATATGATACGCACCAGTATCCGTATACATCAGTTGAATGTTTGAACCATAGTTTTCAACCATAGTTATAATGGAAATCATAAATTAATGTTTTTGATAAATCTAAAATCGAAAACCCTACATATATCGGCTTATCAAATTGTAATACATCCATGTTCAAATGTATTGCTGCTAATTTATTGTTATATATTGTAATATCCTTAAACGTATTTCGATTAATTAATTTGGCACATTTTTTTTCATCAGAAACAAGTTGCATCTTCATTCTGTTTCTGACGTTTTCCATTGTTTTTCCTATAATTTTAAGAGTTTAAAAATATTCAAGAAAATAAGAGCTTAAAAAATTTTCTCATACCGAATACTACATTGTTCATTAATTTAAAAAAATCTCTCTCGAAGTTATTTAATGCATTCTTTCTCATATTCGTATTCAATTCAATATATTTTGCGAGCCACGGTGATTGGTTGAATTTTAAAATTCTATGCACCTACATAAAAAAAAATGTAATTAAATATAATTTTAATACTAATAAATACAATTGTTACCTTTTCTAAAATCAACCCCGCTTTCAGAGCCTGCTTCAAAGCCATGTAATGTATAACATAATTCCTTTTCGAATGTAAATTAGCGACAAGTTTTTTGATTTTTGATCCAGGTGGGATTATCCTCTCAGGTAGATACGGTAAATCATTGTAATCATCATGTAATGATTGAGGATATGTAACATCAACTTCTAACGCCCACCCCACCTCAGATGTTTCATTCATAACATCTAAAATATTTAAAATATTTTCAGTATTAAGATCACCTTCATACCATAAAAATTCATCTTTAGGCATTGCCTTACTCATTGCCCAACCGTAACTAAAAAAAATAGTAAACAAATGTATAGTTATAATATATATTAACATAATTATATTAGAAAATACATACAGATTTGTTGCATCTAAGTTAAGTATATTTTCAATTTTTAAAGCAACTTTAACTATTTTTTCTATAAACTTTTTAGCAACGTCACCTCTATCAAAACTAGAATCTCCTCTAAATATAACCGGGTCCGTCTCTTTATTAAATTCCTCCAATAAATATGTAGGTATATCATCATTAGGCTTAACAAAATAGCAATAGCTCATGACGTCATGGTGGTGAATAATATTAGTATTACTTGTAATAGTGGTATCAGTTTGTTTTTCAAGTATTGATTCGAAATCTGCATAAATTGCAAATGGATGCTTTTG